GATCAGAACAAAATTCTCAGTGTTTATTTCTCCTTCTCTCCTTCAGGCTGTGGATTATTATTATTTCTTTTTTTTTCCCCCTCTCCACCGCCAATCCACTCGGTTCCTCGCCCCTTTGGGAGCACTAAATTCATCATGTGAATGTAAAGCGGGGCTTGTGCGGGGAAGGGAGCTGCGGTTCGCTCGAGCAGACGCATGCAAGGTCACACGCAGCCTCACCATAAATTACGGCATGTCCCACTGTAAACAGCAACAGGAGAGGGGAAGCGCAGCGGCTTCAGGGGCAGGGGGCTGCGGGGGCCGATACGTAACATCGTGACAAGTCAAACAACTCTCAGGGTGTTCACTTGACAGAGAAGTATTTTTCACATCCAATCCATTAGGCAAACAAGATGAAAAAGTATTTCCTACTTTGCTGAAAAAATATAAGGATATATAAAGCATGCCTTAAAAAAAAAAAAAGAAAAGAAATTAAGTGTGACCATCTATAATGTTTTTTTCCAGCGGCTCTGACAGCCTTCCAGGCATCCAGACTCTGCAGGGAGGGAGCTGATACTTTAAAGAGTTCTAACAGTTTCTTGCTTTTTGGCTCGTCCCAGTGTTGTAGGAACAGTAATGAGTCAAATTAGTTGGAAAGAAACAACCCCAGAATTCGCTTCCCTCCCTCAAAACCCTCATGAAACCCCACTCCACAGAACTAAACCCAAATAATTTGCTTCTTTTCTTTCTCCCCTTCCCTTTTCCAGCCAGGTCAGTGGGGAACATGTTTCATGACCCATTTTTTTCTTTTTAACCTACAACATTATTTTTGAAACGAGGAGATCCTCTCAAAGTTTGCCTTTCTTGCTAGCTGCCTTTTCTGATAGTTTTGCACAAGTGAAAAACCCACAGGGAAAAGGCTTCTTCCAACAGTTTGGTTACAGTTTGGAGGACTTCTAGTACCGGTGACAGTCTCTGACAGGGAGGCAGAGGGGAGTGGTGGAAGAGCAGATCTGCAGGCTGCCTGGCGGCTCCTCAGGCAGAGGCAGTCCTCAACCACCACCGGGAAAACGAGCCTGTCGAAGAAAAAGGATCACTCCCAAACACAAGTCATCTTTCTACTAAATTTTAATTTATTTCTTTTTTTCCTTTTTTGACAAAGACATCTAAATTATACACGGAATAACAACATGACCAGATATTGCAAATACCCCTTTTCGGTGAAATTCAAAAAGGGAACATAAAAGAAAGAGCTTGTGGGGACCCGGCCGGCCCAGGGAACGCAACAGCCGCCACCTTTTGCTTTTACAGAAGAGTGAGCCCTGTGGGGCAGGGGGTGAGCTCGAGAGGGCTGGTCTCATCCCAGTACATTTAATTTAAAAAGTCTAGTGATCGGTTATATTTTTGACAGAGAAAGAAGTCATTAATGTGCAGGAAGTGGTATTGCTGGTGGAGGAGGGGAATGGGAGAAGGTTGCATGAGGCTTTGGCGAGCGTTCTC